AACGAACCCCGCTGTTGCTGTCCTCGGGCCTCTGTGCCGGCAACAAGTCAAAACAAAAACACCAGGAAGGTCAGCTGAGCACACCAGGAAGATGATGTTGGCCTAGTCTCTCAGACAACTTTTGAGCTGCCAAAGGCAGCCAGTAGTGGCCTCAGGCAAAAGACATGAGAAGATGCCAGCTGGGAAGCCACTCACTAACCCACAGGCAGCTTCTAAAATCAAACTGGAGTTTAAGAATTTAAGATTCATGTCCAGGAACAGCTGCCAGGCACACCCTGGCACCAGGAACTTCCCATTGTTCTGGATTTACCTCGCTTTGAGGCATCCATAATAAGAATGTATACTTTGGTTCAAGAAGTTTTTAACCTTTTGCCATGTAAAACTATTGTGATATTACAGATCAGCTGCTGCTAAGATGCTTAAAGTATGTGCAAAAGCATTAAGATATCTTCTCACCCATCCCCAGATATTCAAAGTTCTGGCTATGCCAGTGTGTAATTTATTGACCTGCCACATTTTGACTTGAATATGATGATGTCATGTCTCCTTTTAGGACTGCTCAGCTCCTCATTAAGGCCTGACGCTGCTCTTGATTTAGTCTATTGCATTACTCCCATTGACTTAAATGCAAGCAAGATCAGCCCTCTGGTATGTCTTTATTCACGTCCTCATAGTCAGTCACATCTCCCTTTACTAGGGTAATGATAAAACTGTAACAAGCAAAAAAAAAATGGCAGTCTCCATTTGTATTGCAAAGTTAAACTGTGGGTGAACTTCCTGCAATAATAACCAGGATTATATTAGAGATACTTTATTAATTATTAGTGTTCATTTGTATTACATTAGTTCTAGAGGCCTCAACCAAACATAGTGCCCCATAGTGCTGAGTGTTGTATATACACAAAGAGACATCCCAGACCCAAAAAGTTTACAGTCCAAATAGACAAGAGAGAACAGGCAGGAGACAGGAAATATTATCCCCATTTTACAGATGAGGAACTAAGGCAGTGGTTCCCAACCTTTTCTCTGCTGTGGCACATCTCAAGCTCCAGGAGCTCTTTCTGCCCTCCCCTGGCTGGCAGCTGCTGGAGGGAAGGGAGAAACAGAGGAGCAGGCTCCTTGCTTACATAGGAGGGGAGGATGGAAGTGAGGGTGATTGAGCTCTAATTGGTTGCTCCATCCCTGGAGGAGGTGGGGCACCAAGGCAGGTGGCCAGTCAGAAGGTGGTTCCCCCCGCTTTTTCCCATATGTAGTTTTTCAAAAAAATTCATAGCACACCTGTTCGGCACTGCGGTTGGGGAAATACTGAACTAAGGCACAGAGAGATTGTCTATTACCCGTGGTCACACAGGCAGTCTATTGCAGAGCTAGCAATTTAACTCCTAACTTCTGAGTGACTTGCGTACAAGAGCATCCTTGCTCTCTCATCTCTTCTCAGAGATGTATTTTATAGGAATATTGCTATTTAAATTAAACCTTATATTCTAGATAGTGGATTTGTACCTGCGTGTAGATGTAGAAAACTGATGTTGTATTCTATTGGGGAGGGAGGGTAAAACAACTTTTCCTAACAAGGTTTTAAATACTTCAGTGGTAAAGTTATGTTGATGGAAGTCTCCCTTACTTGTTCACTGACAGCAAGTCACACAGGATTACACTATGGGCAGGAGATGTTATTTATGTGGGTGGCACTATTCAGGGTTTATTTTTTGCAGGGGGTGTTTTCTTATTCAAAATAGTAAAATCAAATCAAATCCCCAACTGGCTATAAAATCGCTCGTGCCTTTGGAGGTGAATTTATAGCTCCGTGCCTTTCACGAGCTTGGTGGAGGTTTCTCTTCCCTCCTCTAATCTCTGCCTAGATGTTTTTTGCATATGTTGTGTGACAGCAGGGGAAGGGGAGCGGGTTGTGCTTTTCTCTTCTCCCATTGTCAGCTAGTGTAAGAGCGTGTTGGGAAAAACCTGTCTGCGGAATCCTGTGTCATCTCCCGCTACATGTGCACAGGAAAAGTCAGTGCTGCTCGCTGTGCCTCTCTGTTTCCCTTTCATTCAGTTGCTTGCACTGAAGCAGGGAGCAGGATTAGCTCGTGGCACTGGCTATCAGAGGAGCGTAGATAAAAGGCACAGCTCCTTAAGCGCCGCTGCTGCAGCCCTTGTTACTTCCCCCCCCCCTTCCCCACAACAGTTGTGCCTCATTATCCACTGTCTGGCTCAATTTTTGTGGCCGTGTATTGATTGGAAGGGGCTTGAAGTTTTCCCTGCTCCACCGACTGTGGCAGAAGAAGGAGAGATGTTCTATAGCATGGCCATGAGGTCTTGATTGTTCTGCGTTTATGAATGAAACTGACCTCAATCACCTGTTACCTCCAGTTTCTAGATTGTTTGAAGTGCTGCGGGTGTACCCTACAGGACCGAGGGCACCGAGACTCCAATATACAAGGACCCTACAGTATCGTCTGCAGCATGAGCTGGCTGAATAGGATTGCATTGCTTTTCTTGGGAGTAGAAGAACAGGAGTACTTGTGGCACCTTAGAGACTAACATTTATTAGAGCATAAGCTTTCGTGGACTACAGCCCACTTCTTCGGATGTTACTAGCAGAAAGAGTGAACTGCCAGCATGTGAAGAATAACGTGCCAAGACTCAGATTATCCTATAAAGGTAAGTCTGTTGTTATCTTTTATTTCCTCTCTCTCTCTTTTCCTAGGATCTGTTCCTATTATTCCTGCTTTTCCTTATAATTAAAAAAAATTGAGATTTGTATTATAGAAAATATTTTCAAACACTTAAAAACCCTTTTTATGTTCAATACTATTCAGTTTAAATGCAGACAAAGAAGAGTTACATTTGCAGACAAAGATTCTAGAATATGATGATTTTTGTAAGAACATTATATCATTTCATAGGACTTTACTCTTTAAACATGATTAGACCTCTTTGACCACCCAATTAATCTTTATGCTGCTCTGGCATGTTATACAGTTACAATGGTGTAGCTATCTAGTTCAAACATGATGGAATAGATGGAGATTTATGGTTTTTTTTTTTTTTGTCATGAAGTGGTTAAATTTCAGTCAGGTCTGACAATCAGATGCCTCACATAAGCAGTAGATGATGGGTAAGCCAAGAAACTATAAACTGAAATGCAATTTTTGACTATATTTCAGTAATCCTTACAGAGAAAGTGTTACTAAGGGAAGATAACCATGTGATTACACTTATCTTTGGAAACTGTATACCATTAGGGAGATGAGGCACATGATTTATGAGGAGAGGCTTAGGGAACTGGCCTTATTTAGTCTGCAGAAGAGAAGAGTGAGGGGGGATTTGATAGCAGCCTTCAGCTACCTGAAGGGGGTTCCAAAGAGGATGAAGCTCAGCTGTTCTCAGTGGTGGCAGATGACAGAACAAGGAGCAATGGTCTCAAGTTGCAGTGGGGGAGGTCTAAATTGGATATTAGGAAAAACTATTTCTCTAGGAGGGTGGTGAAGACCTGGAATGGGTTACCAAAGGAGGTGGTAGAATCTCCATTTTAGAGGTTTTTAAGGCCTGTCTTGATAAAGCCCTGGGTGGGATGATTTAGTTGGGGTTGGTCCTGCTTTGAGCAGGGGGTTGGACTAGATGGCCTCCTAAAGTCTCTTCCAACCCTAATCTTCTATGATTAGACACAATATCATTGTCAGTAATTAATTTTAGTAAAATATTGCTATTATTAAAAGTCAGGACTGTGAAGAACCAGACATACCCTTTCGGTTATCATTACAGGACATTTCATTAAAAATTCTATATATGTACAATATAGGGAGAAACATAAAAGCTGAACAGTATACAAATGAGATAGAAATTAAAATATAAGAGCTAGGTATTATTACTAAAAGAGGTTCCCCCACCTAAAAGCTGACTTTATAATCTCAGATTATTTATAGCAGGGAGATGGGGGAAGTAGGTTCAGTTCAAAATGTTGTATGTGGTTGAGGGGAGAAATGTACCATTTCTACAATGGAAAAAAGTGAGCATGTGTGTTTCTGGTCATAGATGTCAATCTCTGTCTGCTGTATAGTCTATATATCTCATGCCAGGAGAAGTATGTTCTCTACTTTTTGCATAAGAGGGAGAATCTGTCTTTCTGGTGGCACAAGTGTGAAGGAAGAAAACACCTAAGTGATTCCAGACTGTCATCATTTTCACACTTCCGATCAGAAAATAAAACTTGGATGTGTTCTGACTTCATTGTGAAATTAATGAATGTGCATATTTTAAAAAGAACGTGTGTGTGTGTAAGCACCGCTTCATATATAAAAAGAACACTTTATGGTTCTCAAAATGTATCAATTTGTTTTTTTGTGAGAAAATTCTTTTATATTTAATAAATACAAATTGGTTATTTTACATAATTTAATCTGAGAGACAACCTGTTTTACTTGTGGTCATTGTGTTTTTAGTTTTGGATGTACACTTGTTTGTTGCGTATAGAGTTCTCTGTATGATGGTGATTAAGTTGTGAGTGCAAAGTTTAAAACAATAAATATAGTCTTAGGCCTGGTCTACACTACAAGTTTAGGTTGAATTTAGCAGCATTAAATCGAATTAAGCCTGGACACGTCCACACGACGAAGCCCTTTTTTTTTACTTAAAGGGCTCTTTAAACCGGTTTCTTTACTCCACCTCCGATGAGGGGATTGGCGGTGAAATCGGCCTTTCCGGGTCGGATTTGGGATAGTGTGGACGGAATTCAACAGTATTGGCCTCCGGGAGCTATCCCAGAGTGCTTCATTGTGACCACTCTGGTCAGCACTCTCAACTCAGATGCACTGACCAGGTAGACAGGAAAAGCCCCACGAACTTTTGAATTTCATTTCCTGTTTGCCCAGTGTGGAGAGCACAGGTGACCAAGCAGAGCTCATTAGCACAGGTAACCATGATGGAGTCCCAGGATCGCAAAAGAGCTCCAGCATGGACCGAACGGGAGGTACGGGATCTGCTCGCCATATGGGGAGATC